CCCCCGCCCCCCATGGATCCCTCCAACTTCGTCACGATGATGGGGATGGGGGTCCCCGGGATGCCGCCCTTTGGGATGCCCCCTGCGCCCCCTCCTCCGCCCCCCCAGAACTAAGCTGCCCCCCCTCCTTCCACCCTCCCACCCCCGGGTGGAGCAGATGTGCGGACTCTGACCTTAACGCAACTGTTTTTAGAAAAAAACAACACGATGTAAATACTGGATTTCCACACAGGGCATTTTTAAAAGGGGAAACTTTTAACGTTGACATCACCACGCTGTTCTCTAAAGGTTTGGAGTGTGGTGGTGAAACCAGTATACTGGTCCCATACCCTCGAGGCCCTCTTGCAGAGTCTTTCACGAGGGAGGAGAGTCCTCCTGTGTGGAACAGTCTTAGACCTGATGAACGTGGCGCTCTTTCGAGTTGGTTTTAGACTTGAAACACCGGAAGACCCCTGTGTGTGTGTGTGTGTGTAATTATTCTGCTGTGGAGGTCTGAGCATGACGGGGGTGCTGTACTGAGGAACAGTGTCGGCATTCCCAGCCCAGCCCCAGGTAAACTGATCAATCCCGTGTTTCTTCCCTGTAAATCTCACCCTGACATCGACCTCTTTTGTCTTCTAGCTTGCAAATTGCAACTTGAGTTTGCTGTCCTAGCTTAGGACTCCTGGTTGTTTTTTTTTTGGGGGGGGGTCAGTTATGTGTATATTGTTTCCTAGTGAGATGTTTGGTTTTTCATTGTTGTAAAAACACGGCTTCCTTGGTAATTTTGTGATCCGAAGAGGCGATCCTCCCCAGTCCTGGTTTGCAATGAAAAATGAACCCCTGGGATCTTTCTAAAATTACTCATTAGGGCCTAATGGGGCATAGGTCATTTAATTTCAAGCTGTGGATGGAAACCCGATTTGTAAATCTTTTTATTTTCCCCTGTAATGGGTAGTTTGGGCTTCCGAGATCCTCTGAATCGCGGGAAGATCTTCTAAGCCACAGAACGGTTTTATTTGCGAAGTCAAATTCAGAAGCTGTGGGAAAATGTGATTGAAAGGTCGGTGTTGCTAATGGGTGGTGCCTGTTGCTTTTGAAACGGCAGAAGCCTTTTCTCTCCTCAACAGATGAGAACCGTTTCCCCGAGTAGACAGATCTAAGCTGTTCTTCACCAGCTGCCGCCCCCTCTCCCTCAGGGTTTTTTCTTGTCATTCAAAACCGCGTCCTGAAACTGACCATCTAAAAGGCCCCTGGCAAGACCTGCAGTTTGTCTGCCTTAAAATGTGCAAGTCGTCAGATGTGAAGAGTATTACGAATGTTCCTGAACTGGCATCGAAAATGTGTCATCTGTTAAACGTGTAAAAAGACTTTTTGTAGTTTGTTTTTTTTAAGCTTGTTCTCCCCAAGTTGGACATCTGGGCCCCATGCCCCCTGTGACCTTGCCAGCAACACTACGTATTGGTCAGTGTGCTTTGTGGTCTTGCTACCAGGAGTTCTGCTGTGCCCCCTTCCCAGCCCCCTGAGCGGCTTTTTGATATATCGGTTCTATTGACTTTCTATTATTGATGTTTATTTTCTGTATCTTTTCAGTGAAAATAAAGGGGAGTTATAAATTTACAGAACCCATTGTCCTGTTCCTGGGGGAGGGAGGGGGGGCTCTTGGTTTGTGCCGTTTCCGTTGAAGGTGCAAGGGGGAAATGTTTAAAAAGGGTTGAACTCTTAATGGTGCTGATACTTCGAGTTCAGCTGGGTGGGCCGCTGCTGGTCCTCGCTGGCCGCTGTCCAGAAGGCTGTCCAAGTCTCTTTCTTCCCAAACGCGCACGGTTCAGCTGGGCTGATTAAACGGAACGAGTTTAAGGGGCTTGACTGGAAAGAAAAGGGCAGCCTTCTGTCCTTCCAGGATAGCAGTCTTACCCGCCCTGCTTTAAACCTTGCAAGATTCTCTGCAGGATGGCGGTTGCGATGCTTTTCAGGAACAGAAGAGTGTTCTCTCCCAGCACCCTATTTTAACAGCTCCACCCTGCACCCTCCACGCGCCCTCCTGCCTGTCTTTTGTGTGCGCTGGTGACCGCTGGGGGTTTTGGCTGCCAGATTCAGCCCCCTGCTCCCATCATTCATCCTGGCGTCTTTTTTTAACCCTGGCCTTTGAGGAGGGGGTCAGCGCTTTAAATAGACGCCTCGGAGCCAGAGACATGCTTGGCTGCGGACGCCCTCTCCAGCTGCCCCAGTGCAGCAGGGCACGATGGGACTTGTGGTCCAGTGCAATGCTCGGTCTCGAGAGATTTGTGGCCATATAAGTCTACTCATTGATAGAGGTGCGGATGTGGAGTTTATTTACATCTTGGGGAAGCCTCTTGATTAAGATGAAGACAATTGATTAAGCGTAGCAGTTGCTGGGAAAAAATTCAGATGTTCCCTCCCTTACTCCTTGTAGGGTAAAAAAAATTGTTGTTGCAACACTGATGTAGTTTGTGCTTCCCAGCTATGAGAGGAATTTAAGTCCTACAGTGAATCGGCGAGTATCATCGGTGGGAGCAGCGCTTTTCAACCTGACGACGTTCAGCAACGCCCGTCTCTGCTATCCCCCCCCCCCCATCTGTACCACCAAGGGGGGGCGGGCAACGTGTTTATTTCCAGCCGTGTCCTTTCATCTCGCTTTCTGCGGGGAGACAATCGCGGCGCCTAATAGGGCGCGTTATGAATATTAACTGAGCGACCGTTAGCGTGGCAGCCGATTGGACGCGGCCGGCGCTGGGGGCCCCGCCCCCTCTCTGCATATTAATGAGGGCCGGTTTATAAGGCGGCCAGGGGGCGGGGAGTGGTGACAGTCTGCGGGTCTCCGCTGCAGTAGGACAGAGCTGAGGGGCTTCTGAGGACTAAGGGGAGGGGGGTGTCGCCTGACTGCATGTTCCAGTTTCCTACAGCCGCATTCACACCGTAAGAGCGAAGCTACCCGAGCCCGAAACAGCCAGCCAGCCAGCCAAGATGTCGCGACCTCTGACAGACCAGGACCGGAGGAAGCAGATCTCCGTCCGGGGGCTCGCCGGCGTGGAGAACGTGACGGACCTGAAGAAGAACTTCAACCGCCACCTCCACTTCACGCTGGTGAAGGACCGCAACGTGTCGTCGACGCGCGACTACTACTTCGCCCTGGCGAACACCGTGCGCGACCACCTGGTGGGCCGGTGGATCCGCACCCAGCAGCACTACTACGAGAAAGACCCCAAAGTAAGCACCCCGGCGCTGGAGGAGGAGGAGGGAGGGGGGGTGTTTGCCGCATGCAGGCTGGGCCAGCTGGGGGGCGGGGCCGGCGTGGAAGTGATGACGGATGGGGGGCCGGAGCCGCTGGGCTCTGGCAGGGGGGCACGGGGGGGCTTTTACAGTCTCCCTAAGGATCATCCCTGCCTCTCTCCGTTGGCCTTTGGAGAGCGTGGGGCGACGTGCCACAAAGCATCCCTCCCCCCCCCCATCACCGGCGCGATGACGTGCGAGACCGTACGCCCCCCCGTAAAAAAAACACCGAAGAGTTGCAGCGGGGTACCTGTACCCCCCCCGTCTGTCTTTCTGTGAACCCCGCGGTCTGTAAGGGCTCCGAGGGCGCCGCCTGTTCATCCCGCTGCCAGCTGTCCTTTTGATAGGCGCGTACTGTTAGAATATCATATTGTTTATTCGTCTAATGCATCATATATAGTCATGTATATATATTTACAGTCCTTTAATCTTATTCGAAACAGAAACGGAATGGGTTATATCTCCCCCCCCTCGACTTTATTTCACATATTCGCGTATCGCAGGGGAGAAAGGGCGCATCCCGGAAAGATCAGGGACCGCAAAACAGGGAAAACCCAGGACGAGAGCTAATTCCACAGCGGGGATCGTGACACGCGGCGTGCCTTTTGCGTTCTCTCTCTCGGGTGTGTAATGGAGTTGAAGGTTGCGTGTCTCGCAAGCACCGGAGCGACAGTAGACCATTTTGTTTTGCGACTCCGTCCACCCGGGATTCCTCACGGGAGATTTATTCCCGGTTCACCTGTTTTGTTTTGGGGTTCTCCCGCCCCACGGATGATCGCCTCTGGCAAAGTAGAACAGCGTAGCGTGTATTACAGTAGCCAAACAAGAACTCCTCTGGTCTGAGGTTGACGTTTAAAACGCTGGACGAGTTGAAAATGAAACCGACCTGGAGGCGTTTTTTTTCCCGGCGACAGCGGAGAGACCGGTGCGGGGCAGCCGGTTCAGACTCCCGTGGTTTTAGCACGGCCGGGCGGTACAACGACATTTCCTGTCACCCCCGCCTGCCATGCCAGCCCGGGGGAGACCGGAGCCCCGTGTTTGTTCAGAAGGGGATTTCAATTTGAAATCATACCCCAGCGCCCCACGGAGGAGGTGCTGGAGCAGGAATCGCCAGACGGGGAACAGTGCCTTTCGTGGTTAATTACACGAGCGATTTCTCAGTGAGCCTGTGCGCCTCAGGTCCTCTTCAGCCCTCAACGGGTGATTAAAAAAGATGACTTTGCTTGACCCATCGTTACAGCTGACAGGTGCTGCCAGTCTGTAAAAAGAGGCGACCTATAAGACTGACTGGCCTGGGGCTCCCCAAGATCAGGGCTAGAGACCCCCTGATTCAGGGGTTTCCAGGTCATGGGGATCCCCATCACGCCCAGCAGTTCAGAGAGGCCATGAGGGGTACAGGCCAGGGGGGGAATTTGGGTGCAGTGATGGACATTGCTGTCTCGCAGCGCTGGGGCCCCGGGTTCATTTCCTGGGGTGCTGTCTGGGTGGAGTCTGCATGTTCTCCCCGCGTTCGTGTGGGTGTCCTCTAGGTGCTCCGGTTTCCTCCCACAGTCCAGAGACATGCCGGGAAGTTAACTGGCTTCTGGGAAAACTGGCCCTGGTGTGTGTGTGTGTGTCCTGTGATGGACTGTCCCTGGTGTGAGTGTGTGTGTCCTGTGATGGACTGTCCCTGGTGTGTGTGTGTGTGTCC